GATTAAGACTTGGTTTAATTATCTCTTTAGTGTTAATGATAATGTTCAATTGTTTTTACCTTGAGCTTAATGCTTCCTTGTGAATGGCCATCATTTGGATTGTTTTGTTGATTGGTTAAAGCTTGAGAAAGTTAAATTAATCTGTAAACTTTGGTAAAAAGGTGCTAGTTCAGAAATTTAACTAAGTAAATAGACGGTTTGTTGATAGAATAGAGATGTATCTGTTAACCTAGCATAGCCTAAAAGGGGTTTTGGTTTTCAAAGTGCAACCTTTTCAAACAAATGCAAGAGATTGCTATGTTTTATTGTGATTGCAAAAATTTGGTTTTGACTTAAGAAAGCTTAATCAATTCTGCAAACCCTGGTTAACTAAACTTATTGTTAACTACTACTTGAGAAGTGATTAATTCAGTTTTATGAAGTATTTTAGTGAAAAATGACCCTAGTCCCTTATTTGTCTCAAAGTCAAGTTGATCTCAGATTGATTTAAATCATTGTTTTCCTAATTTTATTTCATAAACTCTTTTACAACTTTTGTTTTACTTAACCTGATCAACAACATAATTATGATTTTTAACTCATCTAGCCTTAGTCTCTGAGGGAACGATACTTTTTATATTACTTACAACCCGTCGGCTTGCAGTTAACCTATTCGGTGAACAGTCACTAAATTCTATCACAAGTCCGTTGCCAATTTTGTTTTAAATGATTAGTGACGGAAATTAGTAATAAAAAAATTCTATCACTAATTTTCGTCACTGATCCGTGACTAACTCTCATTTTGTGAAGGAAATTAGTGATGAAATTTTTCCGTCACTGATTTTCGTTGTAATTCCATTACTAATCCATCACAAAAATATATAATATAAATATATAGTAATTATTTTTTAAACTTATTATTAAAATCAAAATATAATATATCATAATTTTTAAATAATATATTATATAAAAATTAAAAATACAAATATTATAGGAGAAAATAAAAATATATAATATACTTATTATTTTGTTAAACATTTGAATAAAAATATAAATTATTAGAAATTTTTTACTAAAATAAAAAAATTAAATTCAAATAAATAATGATATATTAAATTATATAATATATATTAAATTATGTATATAATATTTATTATATATATATTTGTATTTGTTATTAGAAATATTATATATATTTATTTTTGTATAAGAATTTCGCAGGTACTTCTCAACTTAACTAGCAAAGGTTTCAGCACACATGCAAGAGGTCTTAGGTTTGAACCAACACTTCTTCACAAATTGGCTGAATTTGTGATGTGGCGATCATGTGGACAAGGCAATGACGTGACGGCTCATAATGATGTACACATGGCGATGATGTGGCTATTATGATGACATGGCTGCACTGGGGAGAGGGGGAGTTGAGGTGGCATCTAGTGATGACATAGCGGATTACAATGATGGACACGTGGCGATGACATGGATGAAGAGATAACGTGGTGACATGGAAGAGAGATGGAGGAGTTGGTGACGTCGCAGCCATTTATGATGTGGCGGCTCATAGTGATGGACATGTTGCGATGATGTGGATGAAAGGATGACATGGTGGCATGAGAGAGAGAGAGAGAGAGAGAGAGGAGAATGTGAGGTGGCAACTGGTGATGAGGTAGCAGTCACATACATGACACGTGATGGCAGTTAATGGTTGCCATGTGGTATTTTAAATTTACAAAATAAAAAAAATTTAGCGACGGATTAGTGACAGAAATTTCTATCACAACTTTGTGACGGAATTTTCCATCACAAATCCATCATTATTTTGTGACAGAATTTTTTTAGGATATCCATCACTAATTAGCAACGGATTAGTGATGAAAAATTTCCATCACTAATTTCCATCACAAATCTGTCAGTAATCTGTCACTAATTAGTGACGAATATCTCATAAAAAGTCTGTCACAAAATAGTGATGGATTTGTGACGAAAAATTCAGTCACAAAGTTGTGACGGAAATTTCCGTCACTAATCTTTAGCTAATTTTGATTAGTGACGAAAATTCCGACACTAAATTCTATCGCTAATTTGATTTTTTTTGTAGTGTACACTACAACACATTTTACTTCTAGAAAATTAAGTTCTTCTACCTTAAATAAAATAAGGATTTCGATCCATGTTTTGGCCTCTAACGATTCTTCTTTGATCTCCATAATGTATTCATGAAACAACCTTGATCCTCAAATGCTTTGAAAGGCTTTCAGAGTGGCTTGATATTTAATTCTTATATCAAAATATGCTTTGCAATAGAGTAACTCCATAAGCTCATAAATAACAAGGATTAAATTTCTCCAAGAGTAAGTTGAGATACTTCTCTTTGGAGTGAAGCAATCATACGATGAAGTTTTGGTTGGAGTTTTTCAGGTAAGGAGGCAATGATGTGCAACCAATAAACATCATGCATATTTTCCTATATTTGAGTATTCAATATATGCACAAATGCACCAAGAAATATCAAAAGCTTAAGAAAAATGTATTGAAATGGTATGAAAATTTAGAGGTTAACAAAAGGAAATGATGCTTCTTTCTTTACGATCACTTCAATTTTGCACATGAATAGATTTCACCCTAGCTAGTTTGTTTTTTGCCCGTTAAAAGCACATGAATAGATTTCACCCTAGTTTTATTCTTTAATTTTTTACCCTAGTCATTCAGGTTGTGTTTATCTTCAACGTGAATAATACTAGTACCACTTCAGTCCTAAATAAAAGTCACTTGCAGGGAGAAGTTTTGTTCCTCAATGTAAATCACTTGTAGCATATTTAGTGCTTGTTCTAATTTTATCCTTATTTAATGCTCATTATAAAGAGAGAAAGAATGGAAAAATATGAAAATGATTTCTAAATGTAGAGATTGAGGGAAAAACTTTAATTAATGAGAATAAAATTGAAAAATTTTGTCAATTTAATAGATTTCTTGTTAAGAGAAAATGTGCTAAAAGTGACTTATATTAAGAGTTGAAGTAGTATAATTTCCTTTTGCTTGCCAACTAGCAAACAAAAAGAGGAGAATTGCAATAAGATCCCAAAGAAGAAACATATTTACAAAAAACGTCATAACAACTTAATAGGTTGTAATGACAAGTTCTAAAATAAAAAATGATAATAAATTTCAACTACTCACTTGTCATTGAGACGTTTTAATAATTATCTTTTTGAGACTTTGTTGTAATTCTCCCAACAAAAAGTTCTGAGGTAGATGGTTTGCAGTAACCAGTAAGTATTGTCTCTGCAATGCCAGAAGTCAGCAGCTGATCCGGCTTCTCTCCCTTATCCCTTCCCATATGCTATCGTCCTCTACTTGAAACTACACCATTTTGGTGTAGTTTAGATGAGGTGGCACCTTTTTTTTCCCAAACAAGTATGTAGTATCTTGAAGTATTTTTTTAATACTACTTAGTATCCTGAAATATTTTTAATATCACACAGTATTCTAAAATAATTTTTGGCCCAGTCAGAGCCCTACAATATTTTTTTTCTGTGAAATACAGTATTTGGCTTCTAGCACATTGAAATATTTTTTTGAGTACCATGTAGTATCCTGAACTAATTTTTAGTACCACTCAGAGTTCTAAAATAATCTTTGATCCAATCAGAGCCCTAAAATATTTTTTCTATAACACCTAGTATCTGGTTTCCAGCACATTAAAGTATTTTTTTAGTACCATGCAGTATTCTGAATTTTTTTTTCAATACCACCCAATATTCTAAAATAATGTTTAGTCTAGTCAAAGCCCTAAAATATTTTTTTTTTGTAACACCAAGTATCTAACTTCTAGCACATCAAAATATTTTTTAATAACACCCAGTATCCTAAATTAATCTTTAGTGCATTCAATACTCTAAAAAATTGCACAAAAAGTATTTCAAGAAACAAAGTGCTAATTAAAAAATTTCTCCGGATATTACATGGTACTAAACAAAAAAACTTCAGCGTGTTAGAAGCCTTATACTAGGTGTCAAAGAGAAAATATTTCAATACTCTGACGGGAAGCAAATTATTTTAGAATACTGGCTTATGCTGTAAAAATATTTTAAGATGCTAAGTAATATTAAAAAATATTTTAAAATATTAGATACTTATTTGCAAAAAAAGAAAAAGCACCAGCTCACCTAAACTACACCAAAACGTTGTAGTTTCAGGCAAAAGACGGCAGCGGATGGGAAGGGATGAAGGAGAGAAGCCGCACCGCTTTTTAACTCCCCAACCATGAGTAATAAAGCAATTCAACCACTTGATGTCCTGTAATTCATAATGACCATACCGTACTAGCATACTGTTCCAGAACTATTAACGTCGTTTTTGGGGAGTTGGTTGATTTTTTGGGAAAATTGAAAATAAATCTCTCGTTGAGAATTTAGTTGGTAAATAATACATAGGCACTTTGTGCATGTTAACTTTCTCAGTGTGCAATTTAACTTCCTTTATGTGCAATTCATCTTCTCCATTGTATAATTATATTTTCTTGTGTCACATCTTCTTTTTGTGCAACTGAATATTTCCATCTTCTCTTTTGTACAAGTTATCATCCTTATATGTAAACTAATCTCTTGTATCTATCTACTTATAATATGAAATCCCATAATACCCGATTGAGGGAAACGGGTTATGGGGTTTGCGGGTCCATATCCTGTGGTCCAGTGACAACCCGGCATTGGTCTGCCCATGTGATTTCCTCAGTGACCGCAGCTTCCTCCTCACGCATCACCTCATCATGGCTCTCTGCTTTCATATCTTTAGGTGGAGCAAGTCAAAAACAAGGAGCATTGGAATGAGTCAATCGCAAAGAGACAACGATGCGCTGCTCACTTTTACATTGCGTAGTATTTGTGTATCATGCAATGGCCCTTTCAATATCCTTTTCCTCGTCATATTTGGAATCCATTACGCACAGTCCCACCACGATCTTCACACAGTGAAGATTACAGAGAGTTCGCACATTTAGAGATTGGCGAGTTGCGGGTCAGCGAAGAAGCAGGGATCATCTTCGCAAATCTGCAACTGAAGCCCCAAGCAAGCGCCCACTCCCAACACTAGCCCCGTGTAACTCACTAGCCACCATCGTCACACAATAAGCCATGAGATCTGAGAAGGGATTTCGAATTCAGAGTCGAAGCCAGTCGAAGAAGGTGAAGTCACTATTCTTCTCAGTTCTTAGAGATGGTGAGCAAGTACAGATTTTGTTTCCTTTTTTTTTTTTATGCAACTCTAAGATGCTCCGAGTTTTCGAATAACAGAACCACAGTTGTGTTTGCTACCTCCTTACTATCTCAACAAAGCCAGTTACGCAACATGCCAATGCTAATGTGGGTGCAGGATATTGATACAAATTTAAACTTAAAAACTTTTGATTTGTTTGTCATCCAAAAATTTTGACATATATTCAGCATTAATAAGAATGCAAAAGAATTTTGGCCTAAGCTTTGATCTGGATTCCAAGTGACCTTCAAATCAAATGTACCAAATTTCTTATAAATGAACCTGTTATTGCTTTATCTATCATTAGATTAAATATTCCTCTTTTCTTTTTGATCTGGTTGGTATGCTCTTGCTTCATTTTCTGAAATTCCATTTGGCAAAATCGATTTCGTGTATGCTTTGGATGACATATATTTTGATTCCACATTTAAAATTACATCTTCTAATTCCACCAGTAACTTATTAATTAATTAACAATTAATATATTTGAGATTTCAGTTTCACCGTTACTACTAATATATTAGTGTGGCTGCTGAATTCCATCAGTTACGTCTCTTTGATATCCGTTAGATAACACTTAATAATTAGGCCCTCCTTAGTGTTGCTAACTTAAATTCTTTGGTCTGCTTAATCATTGTATGCATTTCATCATATTTAAATTCTCACAGCCCTACATCTATCATAACCTTGAAGTTCCCATAACTTGAAGTTCAACCATCAGGTACATTTCCTCACTTGAAGTTCTATCATAACCTTTTATTTTTTTGTTGTCAATTTTGAATTCATATGAATACACTTCTTGTGCCAGCTTCTAATATAAATCTTAGAAAATGCAACAAAATATCCTGTACGGACTGAGTGGTTTGATTAAAGGCAGATAAATTTTGCTCCGGTTAGTGGTTCTAATAAGCCAAATGTGTAACATAAAATGTGGAAACTTTTCTAGAATATGGCATTAAATGGTTTCTTATACAGGAAAGGAGTCAAATGCTTAAATGAGATAACAATGAGATTATGTATAGGTGTTTTATTAAGGGAATATTATCCTAGGTACATGATCGTTGTTGCTGTTATAACTGGGATTTTCCTAGATGATTATTGTAGAAGATTGAATTGTTTGGTGTACATTATAATATTAGAAAACTATTTAAAACGATTAAATAATACTTGAAGATTCTAAAATGATGGGTTCAGTTCTGCATTTCGCTGTATAGTGGAGGTTGGCTTACTTCTCTTTATGGGCATTGCATAGAAATGTTACAAAGTAACGGATACAGCATGAGTGTGCGCGTTTGTGATGCTTTGGGCCTCATGAAAATTTGTAGTTGAAGCTAAAGATACAATATCCCTACTGTTTAGTGCTTTTTTAAGTAGTAATGCACACTACAAAGTGTCAAAATGATGGTTAAGGCAGTGCTGATGGAGTCGAACTATAATGTTAAGCATGCCAAAACTTTATTATGATGATCAAAATTCTTTGTTACTTGCTGAAGGATTTTCTCGATTAGTTAATGGATATGAATGGGTTATACAAGTGTTGTTGATACTTAAAAGAAGTACTATAATGTTAAGCATGCCAAAACTTTATTGTGATGACCAAAATTCTTTGTTACTTGCTGAAGGTTTTTCTGGATTAAATGGCATTGCTTGAAACTCTACCAAGATTTTATGCTTTGTTAGTTTTTTGGCTAATGTTTGGGAAGCTGAAAAGTTAGTTTGAATCTTGCTCCCTTAACTAAATTATGATGAATTAAATAGCATGAAAAATGTAAGAAAAAGAGGAGGTTTTAGAGCCGCCTAGAATATAAAGATAAAATATAAAATGTTTGCCTAAGATGGTATTGGTGAGATGCTAAAACAATTTAAGACACTTTTTCTTTATAGTTTAATGTCCATTTGCCTTTAATTTTATCCCCCAGGAAAAAACCACCTTTTGGTACATTTGATATATTGAAGCCTTAGGATACCATGCAAACTGAAATAAAATAACCATGGGGCTGCTAATAGTTATGCTAAAATCAAACATTATTAGTACTTAAAACTGTAAATTCAACGGTTAATGGGGATTTGACAAGTATTCAAAATTCTGTGATGTGTCTCCTTTATTGAAATCTCCCAATCTAAGCCTTTGACACTTTGCTTGTCTATTTATTTTGTGCCATGTATATACCATGTATTTTGTGTAATTTATATGTTATGTTATTTAGTGCATTACTACATTAAACTTGTATTTGTTGTAGCTTTGTCAGCGGGTGCCAATTATACCATCATCATAGCATGGCAAGCACCGATCGGGACATGATAAAAGATATCAATAATATTAAAGAGACTTGGACAATTGTTGCTCGAGTTCTTAGGAAGTGGGTTTCCTATAAGAAGGCTCCACCGTATGCTCCTTGGAGGATTAGAATGCTCCTTGTAGATGAGCAGGCGAGTTAACGTTTGTTATTGACTATTTATTTAAGATAAATAACACTCTTAAATGACAACACAAAATTTGAATAGGGTTCAAGAATAGAAGGTTTTGCAACACAAAAGGGCTTGATTGAGCGGTACAAGAATGATCTTAAAGAGGGTAGAGTGTACCACTGTGAAAACTTTCAGATAGTTGGCAATGATGACAAGTACAAAGTGACATCACATTCTTGGAGGCTTAAGTTCCACAACACAACATACTTTGAAGAATTGGATTTGCCCATTCCCAAAGAGTCTTTCAACTTCATCCCCATCAAGGATATTGCGGAATACACTGCAAAGAATGAAGGATTTATTGGTTAATATATAAACATTTCATTTAAGTTCTCTTTTCAAAGTCTAATTTTTCACTGCAATTAAAATTATAACATCATATATTCTTTGTGTAGATGTCATCGGCTTCCTCCAGGCACTTGGGGATTTGAAAGACTTCAAAAACAAATTTGGAACTTCGAAAACAATCACCCTGACTCTCTCTAATCAATAGTAACAACCTTGATTGTCATCATTTTATCTTCTTATTACTGTCATTCTCTAATTCTGACTAAAGTTGCAACATATTTCCTACAGTGAGAGCGCAATAAAGGTGGTATTGTTTGGTAACTGCGCGGTCAACACATATAATAGCAAGCCTCAAGGATTGGAGCATCCTATTATTGTGGTGGTCAGATTTGGAAGGTTAAACAAGCAACAAGGTACAACAAACATATTTACTTTTAAACAAAAATCAATTTCATGACCTTAACACTTTGATTGGCACATTATTAGCGTATGGGCATATTAGCAACGTGTTTGAAGCAACTAAAGTTTTGTTCAACCCTAACATTCCTGAGGCCCATGACCTACTTCAAAGGTGAAGCCCCATGAAAAGATTTTCCACCAATACATATTTACTATTCATAAATATTTATTGATGTTTGTAGTGACTGAAAAATCTTAATCATTTTTATTGTTGTTGTTGCTAGCCTTGACGAAATACCTGAAGGTCGGCAGCGTTTCTCTCAACTTTCCAGTGCAGATTACCGAGTTGTAGACAATGGGTCAATGTTAACATTTCCAATAAGAATACATGTGGATGAACTCTCCACAATTACTGAGGTACCATGATGTCTCTTAACAATATTTAATAGTTAATTAATTTGGAAATTATTATTATCTCGATGTGCATTATAGTTAATAAAATTAAGATATAATTGTGCACATCTAATCCATGTTTTTCCAGATTTTTCATGGTTTCATAAACTCCTAATACTAAAATTCACGTTACATCTCACATCTGAATGCAAAATATTATTTATGTTCTTGACAAACCAAGGAAGAATGATTTTTGCTATACTACATATATTTTTATATATGCTTCTTATTGATATGTATGTCTGTGCTGCTTATTTGTTTCCTACCTTGATTACATATATATGTCGGTAATTTTGTTATATGTTCTGTATATGTTTGGTCCATATAAGATTTTACATATATTTTGCTAACAAACATAAATTATAATGTATATTTTTTGCTCCATGTCAAGATCATTAAATCTTAGCTTCCTTGTTTCTCAGATGTCGTTTTTCTTTTATCTTAGTTATCATAAGATTTTTATTGACAACATTCGTTCTTTGAAAATAGCTGTGTGAAGTTGTAACCAAGGTTTGCATCCAAAAGATTGAGATTGCTTACGACTGGACCTATTATGGGTGCTCATGCGATCGCAAACCTGTATATGAAAATGACAAACTAAAATGCAAAAGCTGTACGAATGATGTGTTGACTATTGAGCCCAAGTAAGATTATATGTAAATCTCTTTACAAAATGAGCAAACGTCTACACTATTTATGTTCTAACCAATGAAAAATGAAAATGTAGCTGAAATACTATTTCATATTGTTTCATAGATTTAAGCTCCATTACACAGTGTTTGATTCAACGGGCATATGTTCAATCATATTTTTCAATCGTCTTACTTGTGATTTGATTGGCTTCTCAGCTGAGCAGTTGAGGACAAAGGTAGCAAAGGTATGACTCTTAAATTGCACTTCTTCAACTAAACACTCGTGTTATAACCTTTGTACTTTCCCAACCTGTTCCATTTTAGGACAAAAACCCAGGTTCTTTTCCCAAAGAATTGAGCAATTGTATGGGGAAAGAAATGATTGTCAAGCTAAAGATCAAAGAAAGCAATATTAGGTATCGAAATAGCAGTATGGGTGTTATCCAGTTCTCTACTGATAAAAAGATGCTGGAAAACTTTGCGTACTCTGCTACCAAGGTATTCAAATAACTCTTCCTCATCATATCTCAGTACTCAATGTTAAAATCTAACATGTTAGAGCTCCTTCACACAATTATGTAGGGAAGTCAACCTAATGAATCTGAGAATATCACTCATGAGAAGGCTACAGTCGACACTTCATCATCACAACCAACAACATTGTTGTCATGTGGCATGCTGGATGTGGATAATGATCTCTTAAGATCTCAATTGCATGGCTCTCCGAACACATTGTCTAAGCGTAAAAAAAATCCACCTGATTCATCAATTGACGATGACGAGACGAGATTGTCTGCCGACGCAACTACAAAGTCCAGCTACGTGAAGCCCTTGAAGAACATAAAAAAGGAGAAGGAAGATAAAGATTGATTTCTCAGCCCTCTCAGTGGTGATATTATCAGATCTTAATTTGATTGCGCAATTTTTTTTTACTTGATAGCCATATTACTGCTTCACGTAAAAGACCTACCATTGAAATAATGTTTCAGTATTGATGCTTTTGAAGTTCATCTATAAATCTTTCATCATCTTTTATATATAATTTATATATACCTCACATGAATACCAAAACTTGCAGCATTTTCAACTGCTCGGCATATATTTACATATGACATTTTTTATGCTCACTAAGTTTTAGGAATATTTTATTACTATCAAAATTGATTAATTTGGAATGCATTATTGTTTGAAATTAGATGAGGTTATAGATAAGTAATTAAATTTTAATATAATTTTTACTTTCTAATTTGATCTCTCCCAAGACCTGTAAAGTTTTAATGAATTCCCAACACTAACTTAAATGTTTAATTTTTCCAAGAGTCATATTTATGTAATTTAATTTAACAGTTTTAGTAAGACTCTAATTCGATTTAATTGTTAAATTTGTTTAGAGAAGCTAGATTGCATTTTGCTCCAACTAATGAATCTTTAAAATAACAAAATCAATAATAATATGTTTAAATATACAAAACTAGATATTGTTCATATCTATCTAATTTATATATTACTCAATAGACTAATTCAATTTCCACCATTTGTTACTATTACTATTACTCATTAATATTGATCATTAATTAACAAGTCGAAACATATCATTTTTTAATATATTAACAATAATTCATTGATAATTAATGCATAACTTATTTGGGGAAAAAAGGACAAGCTATTGGATTGTTTTTAGATTGTCAATTGTGGCTCTCTATTTGTGTAATAAACTATTTTAATTGAAAAACAGATATATTTCACTAATCTGATCAGGGAAAAAATTCTTATTCTTTATGTCCTTAATATAAAACTCAATGAACTAATTTGAGTATATCAACGATCTTAGTTAAATTATTGGTTAATATGGTATATTTTTCCCTCAAATAATCTAAGCATCTTCCTTAATTTCGTGCAATTTTTCCCTAATTGAAAAGAAAGATAAAGTGTGATTTCTCAGCTCTCTCAGTAGTGACATTGTTTGCTGCAAGCAAACATTTATGTTGTTAAAGACATTGTATCACAAACATTAGTTACAGGGTACGATTTAATTACAAGGCACCATTTCAGTGTAATAGATCAAATTCGAATGAATGCATTAAAATCAAATGAATTAAGGAATTCGAATAATAAAGGTCCAAAGTATTATTATTTAGATATACCTCACATGAAGAACAACGGTCACAACATTTATAACTATTGGACATATATTTTAATATTTTATTCCATATACTCATTAAATTTTTGCAATATTCTTTGCTATCAAATTATTTATCAATTTTTTACTCTGTTTATATTTTCTACGGGATATTTCTATAAAATTCATCTATGCATTCATCAACTTCACAATCAATTATCAATTAATTACTTTGGAATTTATTACTATTTCAATTTGGATTACAAAAACATTGATGCGTTACATTTCCACACTGATGATTAATGCATTCATAAATGAGATAAGTCTTATTCCAAATATAATAGTATCATGAAGAAACGTCACTGATAATTTTCCGGGCAAAAATAATATGATGAACATTGCAGCCTAGACTTGTGTCAGTTTCCAATTACATATTATTTGCCAATCCTAATGCGCCTGTATATCCACGGTTAGCACAAGGGAGATCTAGGGATGAAGTCAGTTCATCTTAATTATAACACACTCAGAAAAGACACTCTATTGTTGAGGCATCGCCATCTTACATTATGCATTTAGAACTGATGCCATGGTATTCCTGAACATCCTAAATTACTGTCAACATTGCTCCGTTTGCTGAAAATGTGAACTTCAGCAAGAACCACCTTTTGAGATTTTCCCCCTATTGCAAATGACGGTTACCTACATCAATTATTAACAAGGCTTGTGCCATAGCATCACCTTGGGAACAGGTTTCATTTCAAAATGCAATTATTTAATTACACCCATAGTTAGGAAAAATAAATGTATACCAAATATCAAAGCAGGTAGAGAGAATGATCAGATAGAGCTAATACAAGCATGCCATCATCCAAGCATAACTGACCCAATCAACAGTCAATATTAAAGGACCTCGTCCGGTACAATGTAACAGCCAGCTTAGTCCGTTCATTACTGCACAAACTGAATCACACAAGGTATTGAATGACCCAATTAGCAATCAATAATTGAGGGGCAAATAACACTATTGAGGAATGCAATGCGATTAACATATTGTCGTGAGCTTTACCATCTTGTGCCCACACAATTAACCTCTCTTCGCATCAAATTTACTTTTTACTCATCACACAATCCACTGCCGGCATGGACAAAACCGCATCCAGCATCAACCTTCAAAGCTCTAAACAAGGCAAGTTTTCCTTTACATATCATGTTGTATGTTAGTTGTTTTCTCTCTGTCCTATTACTATGGCAAAATTATATCCATCAATCAAAGGACTCATGACTCTATTTAACAGTGGAATGGTAGTTCATAGAGATGATGCCATATAGACCATATACGTCAAATCTTATTTTCTTTAAATATATATATGTGTGTATATGGACAACGAATGTGTATATACACATGAACCACAAAAATATTATAATGGAAAATATTAGTTACTTCTCCTTTGTGCTATTTCTAGAAACATCTTGTGCTAATGACTGAAATAAACAATTCAGTAACAGATCATCCAAATCATTATATACAAGAGTCAACTCTGCACAAATCAAAGAAAAGACGGTTTCCAGACACAACCAATGAAGATGCTAGCGTTAATCCCATCCTCGATTAGCATATCATAATAGGTACTTCACTCTTCTCAAATAAATTTAGCGTGTCATTAATTCCTATAGTGGCTAGGATAAAGTTATTTCCGTAGAAGTATAGCAACTTTATCTTCATTGTGATACTACAAATATACCGGACAAAAGTGTTTCACCCCTCAATTTTGTAGCGTAGTTAATTTAATATAATACTACACAGATCCAGTTTGTGGTTCTAATTATGCCTCCAACATTTACTAATTTTGAAAAAAATATACATATACACTCTCGGGAAATAAATCTGTAGCCGCATTATTAATCAGTACGCTATATAATTAGGAAAAAAGGGCTCCGATGGGAAGTATTTGAATTTAAGGTTAGAGAAGTGGGATAATTGCATTTACATTTAACGTTCATTTTCAACCTCATGCCATTGTAATATGAATTATGTTCTAATGGCATGGCCAAAAATATAAGAGACATTACGATTTATTACAATATATTATTTAAAAGGTATGAAAGGTATGAATAATAATACTTATTATTCATTAAATAGAAATTTAATTTGACGGAAAGAATTAGCAGAACATAAGTTAAACAAACAGGGTAATTTCTAAACAAAAATACTCCATTAAAAAAATAACAAATCAAAGCCGTGGCACCATTTTAGACGAATCAAGAACGTGACTTCTTTCAAAATGAAGCAATGTTTTTTTGGGTTTTATATTCTTCATGTCTTCATTCACTTAAAAATTCTTAACAAATCTTCTTTTTACAAAATATTGACGATTTCGTGTGATTCGCCAAATTTTTGCCCATTAAATTCAGATTGCTATATTTTTATTTCTGCTTCTTTTCTAACATTAATTTTGGCTGTGCACATTTCTTTGCAAATTATGATCCAAAGAGTTTGTCGTTCCTCTCAAAATGTGTTCATTTTATTATTATTATAATATAATATAATTACCATGCTTATTTTCAAATTCATCCAATATGATTCGCTTAAACAGTCATGAATAAATTACCGTGAAAATTAACACAAACCACAGAGAGTGTATTGCCCCAAGTCAATAGGCAGCAAGGAACACCAATCTCTCCAAATATTCGATCACTACATATTTACATAGATTAGCCCGAGATCGCATCCAGCAAATCATAAGTCCATAATGTAGCAATGATGCAACCAAGAGAAACTGTTGACTGAAACCCGTCGACACCATCCGTGCAACGCACGGGGAAAAGTCCTAGTTCAAATAATATTTGGTGTAAACTATCTTCTCTACGTGCAACTCCATTTCACTTGTGTACATTTTATCTTCCTCTATGCAACTCATCATCCTAGGAATCATTTGCCAATTAATTTTCTAAGAGGGATTTATCCCACTTTTTCCATTTTTTTCCTTTTTATGAATAATAAAACGGAAACTTTGTTCACAATCGAAGGTAAAAAATACAGAGATCAAAGGAAAAAAATCAGTAATTTCATGACTTTGTTTAATTAGTTAGATTTTACATTCTCTACATGCAAAAGCTGTGAAAACAATCTAAAATTTTGATGGTCTCATCAATGGTATCTTGAAAGGAATGATTATTGGCTTGATTCAAGAGAAAAAGGTTGATGGCTCCTGCCCAATCGCAATATGCTTCCACTTCCCTAATTCGCAGGTTCCAACAGAGTTCTAGACCATTTGCAACTCCTAGCATCTCAGCTGGCAGGAGGATATATATTCAGTCGGTTTGAGTTCTGTTTCAAGATGATTGTTGCTTTAGGCTTTCAAGAAAATGTAAGGTTTTTTGGACAATATAATTTAATTTCATCCTCCAATAAATGAGGAGTGTTTATTTTAATCATCATAATAATATCACTCTTTTTCAAATTATGATAAGTCTTTTTGAGAAACATTTTCGTTTCATTTTATGTCTTTCTAGAACTTTAAAGAAGTATTTACTCATTGGCAAAAAATAAAAGAAGTATTTACTAATACTATTTTGATATATCCGTGTTTGCTTCAATAACTTTAATTTATTCATCACGTTAACTAAGGATAAAGTTGGTCATGTAGTCAATAGTTTCCGTAGGTTTTTGTCAATTTTTTTCTGATAAGTTGTACTGTGAGTTTTTGATAACTCATTATTTTGAATATCTTGAAAGGATATTTTAAGTGATTTTTGAAGAGTTATCAATACATTTTGAGAAATTTCTAAGAGTTAATTGGAAGATTTGATTTTGAGCATTATTTAGGGGATTTTCTTTGTAAATACCTTAGTTTTAAATAAAGGTAGTAAGTTAATAATAATTTTTAGAATATCTCATTTTATTTAATTTTATCGTATATATTTCAGTTTTATTTTTCTTTTCGTTTTTTTCTTTTCTATTTTATTTTATTTTCTTTTCAGCTTTTCTTTTTTATTTCTGTTAGTCTTTTCTCTTCCATGGCCAAACCACATGCAGCGTTAGAGATCATATGGAAGTTTGAAAGAGAGCTGCGACACCGTTTGGCAGCAGGAGCGGGGGTGCTGTGGAGATAAGACGCACCGTTTTGAAAGACCATTTTGGGAGACCTAGAGGGACGGCTTATCATCGTCTTGGAGGGGGCCGAAACCGGTTGATCGATCGTGATCTTCTTCTTCGTTGGACCCGAGGAGAAACGCCGACTGGTTCGGCGGGGAGGACGACGCTGGTTCTGAATCAGTGGGGTTACAGGAGGAGAGGCGATAGGGCACTGTTCAGCTTGTGTATTTCTCACGCCAATCAAAAGCAAGGAAGGAGAGATCCTGTTGAGCTAGTTCTGGGAGGAGAGGAGAGCCACTGTGATCGTCTTCTTCATTGGAGTTAGGAGTCGACTGGTTTTGAGCAGAGGAGCGCGAGCCGTGATAGGACCTTCGAACTGTGTTTTGTTTCCAATCTTTCTTTCTTTCTATCATGATTTTGAATCTGGATTTAGTTGTTCTCGTGATGGTTCTGTTCAACGTCATGGGTAGCTAGTTGTTTTTACAACCTAGAGTAGCTACGAGGATGCTTAATGTTAAATTGTGGTGACTTAATCTTCTTTTATTTATCTATTTGATGACTGACCACCGTTAAGTGTGAATTTGAGGATTAAAGCTTTCCTTGACAAATAGAATTTTAATCAAACTCTTAGATTAAGTAATATGGGATTAGATTGATAATCTAATATGTGATTAGGATAAAAATATACCTAGTTATCCTGTATAATTGTTGATGTGTGAGACCGAATTATTTAGCTTCTTAGGTGTTTATGTGAGGGATTATATAATTAATTTAAAAGAGAGTTATAAGTGAATCGACAAGTATTTGTTGCTAATTATACTCTAAATTAACAAAATTAGTATTAAAGCTAATTAATTTAGTAAAACAAGGTTTAAAAAGCTAGTAAGGGATTAGTAACTCTAGATTAGTTTTTTTAACATTGGTTTTGATTAATTTGATAAAGCTTTGTTTTGTTTTGTTTTAATTTCTTTTTACTCAATTCAAACGTAATTTTCACAATTTAAACGAAAAGAAGATTTTTATTATCTAATCACTGTTAACTAAGTTTCTTGTGGGATTGACCTTGATTTGCCATTATCTATTTTTATGATCTGTACATTTGCAGCGTCTTAATATTTGGTGGCATTAAACAGAGTATGATTTCAGATATTTCGTATATAATTGGAGACCAAGAAAAGGATCCTGATATGTTGCCAAAATTGGGGGGGGGGGGAAGGCAAAAGAAAACAAACTTGACTTTTTCTTTTTATAAAAATCACACATTTGCATATCTTCTGCAAATGGCTTGGATTTGAATTGATGATTATATATATATATATATATTTGTTTATAAAAGACAAAAAGATATGTGTGTGTGTGTGTGTGAGCAGCAATCGCGGCATATCTTCTGCAAATCTCTACTTTTAGTAATTTTGCACCAAAGTTCTAAACTAGAACAGCATGTTTGACTACTGTTTGTGCCTGTTTGGATTTGTGCAAGATGAATTCTACAATATGCCGTTGTTCGCTGCAGTTATTTTCGATTACGCACAACTTAAAATTATATAAACTCTTTGTTAATTCAACCATTAATCAATAGATGTTGATTAACATAATTATTTTAGCCGTAAGGGTATGAACGTAGTTAGGTGCATGTAATGTAATTACATTACAAAAAGATACTTCCTCCGATCCTAAATATAAGACTCATTTTGTAGTGTAAATTACAACATATTGTGTAGCTTTTCCCATCCCCTGGTATTAACGTAATTCTTGACATGTACGTGAACAAGATATTGTGTAGCTTTTCCTAATTAATATTAATTTTTGAAGGGAAAAATGAACGCCAGACTTTTAGTTATGACTCTTTTAAAGTCGTTAAAAGTCGTTTTTATTTTCGTTTAGCAGCTGGCTGCTTGCTTGCTTCATGCTTTAATGTTTATTAAATTATTATTTCCAATCCAAATTCTGACACAACTCGTTGTGGCTCAATTTCTTAATGGGGGTAAGGTTAATTGCGATGGGTCCCTCCTCGATTTAATCTGATCAATTTTACTCCTGTTGATAAAGAACTTCGTGGGATATGATGGAATCTGGTTGTGTTCTGCCAGTGGATATACTCTGTTTAATTAGAAAGGGTCTGATGGATATACCCGTGCTTGTTCTAAAGATGGGCTGATATACGCATATCAGACTTGGCTAAAAATAAAGGCAGTTGGTTTATTACACATTAAGATTCATGAAGAAAATTTTTATTCAATAGAAACTACATACATATAGCTAAGACATTTGAATTACACACGCAGTTCATGGCCACTTCTTCACCTTCTTGAAGATGCCCCGACCATAAGTAGAAGAAATTACTTCAACAAGAAGAGGGAATTGTAATAATACAAAGAGAGTTATTGGAACACCAGCAAGCATAGCAACAGGAAGAAGAGCCCATGAGCGTGATTGTTTACTTTGCAACATGATCATTACAGTTGCGGAAAAGGCAATCATCATAGTTGCAATGGACAGAAACAATGTAGAAAGACCTATTATCAATTTTCGAGGTAGTGAGTAGAGGAAGTCGTCTTCCGAATAGCGTGAGGTGAGGATTCCTAAAAATGTGAGTACAGAAGTAGTGGAAGAAAACAAGGAAAGTGCATCTGAAATTAAGAAAACTTTAAATAATCTTTTCTCTATAAACATTGGATACCCTGAATTCTGATTGTTTCCTCCCGGAACGGTTAACGCCGCGGCAAACATGATGGTAACAATTAGAGCCCCAACAACAGAGCAAGAAGATGCTGTGTCTTTCATCCACTTCTCTCCTTTATCCCTAAGGTCGTTGTGGTTTTTCTTGAAAAAGTCGAAAGGGTTCAACGATTCTTTGTTTACGAAATACCTATATCCAGGATCCACCATCTTCTCCACTGCCTATGTTCACAAAAAAGAAGACATTTAAATAAATAATAAATGAAAGACACGAAGTCATGGCTAATAAATAGAAGTGTTGATTGCATATACAAAGAATTATCCAACAATATAACAAGTCTCAGGTGTGCGCGCGCATATGATTCATTTCCATTTATTAATCTCTGCAAGATTCTCACAGAGAAAGAGCAATAAATTTCACTTTCTAACCTTGAACCATTGCAGTTCTCTTTGCATTTGTAGTGCGGCACCAGAGATGCCGTTAAGGTAGGAAGCAGGAGCCAAAGAGGCAGCCACATGCAGCAAGGAATTGTTGTACTGATCTATCGTCGCAGCCACCACATTGTTAAAGCGAAAACAACGGAGGAGGTTGAAAATCTCAGCCTTGCGTGATGCAACAGCATAGCAGAAAACGGGCCAGTATGGAGGACAAATGAAAGTGAATAGTGAGATTAATTGCGGGTTTGCCTTCACTACTTGCAACAAAAACTCAACATTCCCTTCAGTAGCTGCAGTTTTCAGTGCTCCTGCCATTATATTCTTCTTTTCATTCGAAACTATTGCATTCTGGCAAACTAGGTTTAGAATTTCAGCTGCTTGTGCTTGTTGCAGCTTCATCTTACGTATTTCCTTCATCCCTGAACCATTGATAACTCAAATAAAACGTTATATTTAATCATGTCAAAGGCATCCAATTTAAGTTCTGGGGAATTTTGTGGCTTACATACACACCTGAGAAATCACAGATGCGGGAGATGAGCCGATGGAGTAGACCGCCTATCCCTGTTGGCACATGGATATTTTTAATTAACGTTAAGACTTCTCATTTTTCACAAATTGTACCTAGCTTGACGAGGTTAGGTTTGTTGTTCACATGAAAAGCTTTACTTCGTATAATCTGATCTTCTAAAGTCCTATAGAATATTGTATACCTTGACGAGGTTTGTTATTCTTGCCTTCTTGCTGAATGGCTTCGCACAAATGCCCTGTGGCTGTGGTTGATGGTATTTTGATATCTTCCTCCCAAACAGTGATCAAAGAAATGGGAAAACGTAAGATTCTTCAAATAATGAAGCAATAAATAACTAGAAGTACAAGTGAATTGGGTGAAGCTATTTTATTTTTCTTATATTCTTTTTGCCCTTGTCATCCTACGTCGCCAAGAGATGCACGATAACTAAGAGGAACTGTTCCATCATGAAATGCTAGCTATATGATTGCGGCCAAAACTAAAAAGGAGTTAACAATGCCTAAACTAGTCAGGCCAAGAAAAAACAATGCCTAAACTAGCGACTTATCTTAGGCATTACAAACAAATAAATGCATTGAGTGAAAATTATCCAAATTAAAGAATGGTGAAAAGTAATAATATGAACTAACAGTGTTGATAGACCCATCGCTTCCAGAACGGAAGTTGAATTTTATTAAGAGAACTGGAAAGATAGCCTGCAATATACTGAAGTACTGAGTATCCAGTGTCGTCAGCAGCAAAAAGCAGCTTCGTGCATCGTCGCAACAAATGCAAGGCAACATCTATTTATGTATCAAAATCAACAAAAAAGATGGAACGTCAAAATAACAACATATGTGAATAGACAGGGATGAAGAAATGAAAATGAAACATTGATGATATAATTGTGTAGAAGTCGTGTTACCAAGATCACCCCTGCCGAGGCAGCTTTGGAGGAACAAAGAACCCACAATGCCGTTTTCTGGTTTGAAAACTTCCAAAGGAGTGACGTCATAGAGATAACGTCCCACTTCTTTAAGGCCAGTACGAAAAGCAATTATTGCAGGAATACATGCAGTGCCTCTCATTGGTATTACCAGTGCATTTCTATTTTTGTTGACCAAGCATGAGGCAATTGGGATGACTCCATTATGTGATGCAGCTATTACAAGTGGAGTACACCCATAAGCATCGTATATTTCAAGATATTCTGCTGAAACTAATCTCACCAACTCCTCCACTATGTCCACATGCCCAAACTTTACAGCCCCATGAAGAGGCGTTTCGCCAGTTGAAGCAGCAAAATCTACGTCCAATATCTTAGGAAGGCGAGCAATGGATGCTTTTGCAGCGGACCAGTTGTTCTCAGATATGGCCCTGTACAGATTACCCATCTCTAACTCTTCTGCATCTGTCATCATCACTGTAACCAGCATGCATGCATTAAATATAAATATATATATTTATATAAGCACAGGCATATATAGACTTGGAGGGCAACGAGGGAACTGTACTTAGTAGCTTCACAAACAAAGAAGGACCATATTTTTTGAGACACTAATAACTATATATATAGTGCTCTTTCTATCTCTAATTATAAGAGCCATTTGTTGGGATGCCTGGTTGGTGTCCCCAGTTATTATAAGAACCTTTATAAAGTTATAGGAATATGTTTTCACATATATAGCCCTAGGAATAATTACAAATCACGTATATATATAAATCTGTAGACATGATTAGCTAGGGCACTGACCAGGTGGTGGGGAAGGAGAGGGCGGTGCATTGTAGGTACTATAGAGAAAGTCCCAAGCAAGTATGGCTTCAAAGAGCCCTCTTATAAGAGAGTGATAGTGAGCCCTCTTATAAGCAAGTTTGGCATTCTTTCTTGATAACTACAAATTAAATATTTTTCGATTGAAAGGAACAGAGATCAATCATATATGCACACACAACTTAACTATTTACCAATTCTTGCAGTTTGAGAAATTTAAAATATGCATTTCAGGTTAAGAAACAAAGACTGATCGCGCTTACCAAGGTGGCAATGGCTTGTTGCTTCTTGTTTTCCAGCTCGCTCTCACACTTCACTAACTCTTCACGCATTGTATATTTATAGGCTTTTCGTTTTATTCCTTACGTGTTCGTATGGTTTCAGATATTAATGGGTATCAAGAAAAGGATCGTGATATGTTACCGAAAAGAAAAAGAAAAAGAAAACAAACTTAACCTTTTCTTTTAAAAAGCACACATTAAAAAAAGAAAAAGTAGTGCTTGAGGGGAACAACTCAATTATCGTAAGTACCATACAGTATCTTCTTTTGCAGTTGGCTCACAGTTCACTTACCCCTGACGCATTGTATATTTATAGCCATCGTCGTATTATTTCTTAAATGCATGTTCATATGGTTTAGCTTAAAAAATTTAATACTATTTCACTAAGTTTTTAATGTAAACGCTACTTAACTACTAATTTGAATATACTAAGGATCATGGATTGAAAAATCAATGATTAATTGGTTTCTACACCAACTAATACCACCCGCTTCAATTAACTAGCTTCTACACGAGAGTATATAACGGACTCGAGTCTATTCTTTTCCCGAAGGAACGAAAGCACTATATGCTTTTTAAGATCCTTTAAATTGAATGGAATAGATCTGAAGCAGACAAGAAGCAAGGAATGGAAACAAAAGGCAAACGTGTTTATGAAATGGGGAATGCTTGACGTGAAACAATCATATGTTTAGTAATTTTTGCACCAACGTTCTAAAAAATCATATGCCAATGTTTGACTGTTTAGATTTGCTCAAAGTGAATATATATATTCCCTTGTTCGCTGTAATTATTTTTAAATACACACAACTTAAAATAATATAAACTTTTTATTATTTCAACCACTAATAGGTATTAACGTATTTGTTTTTTCAGCTGAAAGGGTATCAACGTAGTTACACGCATGTGATTTCTCATTATTTCCCAAGCTATTAAACATTCTTTACAATCACTTTTATTTTTTTTAACAATACTATAAATGATTAAAATTAAGAGGATTGATAACTTCCATATTTCAAGAAATTTTTTACGCATTTTTTATATTATCAATGGTAACTTCATTTTATTTTCAGTTTTTATTGGGTAAACGATTAATGTGTCAAATATTCATCTTGTGGTAATATTATATTTATACATTGGTTCAATCATGCTTTTGATATTTAAAAATAAATACTTATAATATTTTTTGGCCGATATGAAAGAAATCTTTCAATGCTTTAAGAAAGTTCAAAATTTATCTTTCCTTATAGAGACACAAAGCCTCGCCAAGAACCCTCAAACGCACCATATGGAAATAGGGAAAAATTCTGTATTTACTGAAACAGAGTATTTACATCCAATGGGCTTGGTAATGCCCAAAGGTTGGCCCTTGTCATAGGCCACAAGGCTACAACAGAGAAATAAATGGCAATCCAAGAAGGCCCGTATGAGCAATACAAGCAAAACGACTTGGTCAAAATACATCCTGAATTACAAAACTATCCCCCTATTTCTTGCACTCCTCTAACAGGTAACAACGTGAACTAGTTAGGTGGAAATAGATCGAATCAATATTTGCCGGTTTTGTCAAATTGCTTCAGATTTTTTCATAAATAATGCTTCTTCCTTAACACAAGGACGTGAATGCAAGATCGTGCTTCCTTTTCATATTATTTGGAATTTTTTTTTTGGGTTTCTAGATGATGGTAGAAAATTGTGTAAATGGAAATAGGAAACGATGATTTTTTTCGAGACATGTATACGATGATAGATAATGGATCTTTTTCAAATTATTTCAATTTCTTATTTTTAATCCTTTTTTTTAATTATATCTGAATAGTACAAGGAAATGCCAAGCCAAAACTTTTTTTAGACAAAACTTTAAAAAAAATTGAAGTTGGATTGTAATAAGATGGTCTAAGTTGGAGATTACTGTGGTTGACGTATCAAAAAGAAACAAGAAAGAAATTAATGGGGCTGTTGGGTTGGGAATCAAATTAAAGTATAATCTCACTACAAAAAAATGCTTTTAATGACAGAATTTTTTATTTAGTGACGGAATTAGCGACGAAAAATTTCGTCTCTAATTACCGTTGCTAATTAGTGGCGGAAAAATTCTGTCGCTAACCCGATTTTGATTCTCAGTGTAAGTCATCAACTATAGAACTCAAAAATCGCTCCTTTCAATTTCACCCTTGTTGTTAATTAAGGTTTAGTACTTCCTTTGGTCCTAAATATAAGACCCATTTTGTAGTACAAAAGGGAATTACACTATAAAAGGGGTCGGATATTTAGAACCGGAGGAGTATTAATAATAAACTCATTGAACTTTCTGTTTTTCTGTCTACATTATTTAATTTAAGCTGGAGGGAAACTTGACAAAAAACTATTAATATAAGAGAAATTTAATACTTCAACTGTCATTACTTAATATGTGAAAATTAGTTGAAAATGCCCTATAATAAGATTCAGAGGGAGTACTACCTCACCAAAACAAGAAAAGTGGTTAACTAGTCAAATTTAAAAATTATGAACTATTTTTTGCAACTTTGCACATATTTAAGAGCACAGAGAAACACTATATGATACTTATTTGGAAAAAAAATTCATCAATGATCCACCAAGTGACTTATATTGTGGATTGAGAATTTCTTTCAAAAGGCTTTTCTTTATTTAATTAGGAAGGCAGGAGTAAGAGAGGAAGGGAGAGACAGATTTGGAATGAGTGTGTGTATATAAACTAAATTATACCAGAGGTTGTTTCATCTTCACCATTTTTACCGTCGTCATCATAATTCGCCATTATGGCTAGCGAGTACTTTAAAAGAGCAAAGAAAATTGTAAGGAGACTAGAGAGTGGAAAGTAATAATATGCACTAACAGTCATAAGCCCATCGCTTCAAGAACGGAAGTTGACTTTTCTGAAGAGGATGAGGAAGAGAGAGTGCAATATTCGCAACTGTTGGGTTCCGATCTGCGTCTTTAGCAAAAAGCAGCTTCGTGCATTGTTGGAGCAAATGCAAGGCAATACCTATTTATGTATCAAAATCATATAGTATAAAGAGACGAGAGGGCAAAAACGAAAATGAAACATATATTGTGCTTTGCGAATGAAATTATATACCTAAAAATTATGTTACCAAATTCTCCAATTCTCAAACAGATTCGGAGAAACTCAGGACCCACAACAGAGTCGCCTTCTGGTTTGAGGACTTGCAAAGGAGTGACAGAATAGAGATAACGTCCCAATTTGTTGTGGCCACAAAAAAAAGCCAAGGTAACAGGAATCTGCCACGGCTGTCTAGCTGGAATTGCAAGTGCGTTGCTATTTTTGTTTATCATTCATTTTGCAATTGGGATGGATCCCGTATGTGTGGCAGTTGTTGCAAGTGGAGTATAGCCATAATAATCCCATATTTCAAGATATTCTGGCTCTACTAGTTTCATCAACTCTTCTACTATGCTCACATGCCGGAACTTTGCAGCTATATGAAGAGGTGTTCCGCCTCTTAAAGCTCCAAAATCTTCGTCCAATACCTTAGGATGGCGATCAATGACTGCTTTTGCACGGAGCCAGTTGTTCTCAGATATGGCCTTGTTCAAAATAGCCATCTCTATTTCGTCTGCCTCTATCACTGGAATCAACAACCAGCACATATGCATTAAAAATTTGAAATATATATATTCATATGCATAATTAAGAGGAAGGATATAGATAAATCCAATGAGAATGAGTGAATGCAATGAGGTGGCACCCAGTACTGGTATCGAGGTTCAGCTAGGAATTGGCTCAGGGGTTGCATGATAATAATACAAAGACATACTTTAATTTTCTTCCGTACATAAAGAAGATACGCCGGAAGTTTTTAATAATATAGCCTTAACACAACACCCGTATCTATTTCTTGTACTTTTCTCCCCTCGTTACTATATGTAATCATCAATTCTTTCAGTTTGTGAATTAAAATACACATTTCAGCGAAATAAACAACGATTAATTGCGCTTACTTCTTTCTTCCTCCACGTGAATTTGTGATGGCAGTAGCTTGTTACTTCTTCGTTTTCAGCTCGGTCTCACACTTCACTGACTCTTCACACATTCTATATATTTATAGCCTTTTCGTTTATTCCTTCCGTGTTCGTATGGTTTAAGGTATTCAATAAATGATAGGGGATCAAGAACAAGATCGTGAAATGTAACCAACAAGAGAGAAAAGAAAAAGAAAACAAACTTGGCTTTTTCTTTAAAAAAGCACGTACACATTAAAAAAGATTAGTGCTATAGGGGAACAACTCAATTGTCTCAAGTACCATATAGTATCCTCTTTTGCAGATGCCTCACAGCTCACTCACGCCTGACGCATTATATATCTATAGCCATTATCGTATTATTTCTTATGGTTTAAAATATTTAGTACTCTTCATTGAGTTTTTAATGGAAAAGCTACTTAAGTAGTAATTTGAATATACTAAAAAAATTAGATAAATTAATTAATGATTACAAATTGACATTATTTTTTTTTTAAGTACAAATGTATAGCAAATGTCTTGTATGTATTTGAATTTGATCGGTAATACTGGCACTGCTATCCATTCAGGTAGTTTGAAAAAGAATAATAAATATGAGAGACAAAGTAGATTAAAATTATATATTTAGAAGTAAAATCAAGGAAAAAAGATAAGAAAATACCTTTAAATATACAAACTCCCATATTAGTGTTAGTGAAAAGCAAAAAAGTCATATCAGAACAGGAATACTGATTTGGCATTTCTAAATGGTGGCAAAAGACAAGCTTGCTCTTAATAAATTGACTAAAGAAAAGACAATGCGTAAAGCAAGTTAAAGTAATCCGTTTATATAAAGGTGTTGTTAATTTATATGAAAGAGTTTTCAACACGCTTAACAAAGGGGCAACATGTGATTTGCCTAAGTTTTCCAGTTGGTTTGCCTTGTAATGAATTTTGTTGACTACTTGTTGTCAATATATACATATAATTGTTGTCAATATATTTGGAAGAGTTGTTAACGGCCTTAATCAGTTAGCAACATGATAAATCCTTATTTTAATAGA